TAGCTTAGAGTCTAAGACAGTCAAAAGAGAAAATACCATTAAGACAGCAAGAGAGAAAAAAATGCAAACTTAGTCTATGTAGCTATGAATGTCCAAAATGGACTGTGAAGAGAAGTCAGCATTAACAGATGAAGTTAATGTTTTCTGGCCAGATTTTCAAAAATTCCTTTGTCTGCCAGCTGTTTTTGCGAGTGGTGGGATTAAGAGTTGCTCTTTAATATCTGACAGAGAGTATTCTATTGTATTTTCCCAGGAATTTATATGGGGAAAAAAATGCTTGCCTTAGGGAAAAAAATTTGAATCAAGTAAGTCTTTTAGGAAAAGATGTTGCCTTTCCACCACTTGTTAGCAGAATTTGTCTTTGCATTTGAAACATGATCTGAATTTATTAGTGGGTATAATCCTAGTGGTTTTGTGCACTGGTACGTGTTAGCCTGCTGCTTAACTGTCTGTTAGCTACGATGACGTTGATGGCTAAGTTTGGATTTTGTTCAGATAGATGATTCCTCCCTGGGTATATAGTAATTGGCTTTGGACTCAGGATTTTTCTTAGAATATAGTAAGTGTTTGAATTATGTTGATTTTCTTGGGGGAAGATTGCTCATATGAGATGAGGTCTGTCTCAAAAAGACTTCATTGTAGCTATGAAGACGATTTGGTTGTTGCCATTCTTCTCTTTTTTAATTCAGATAGGTATACTCTTAACAGTTTACAGTGCAATTTGCACTTAGTATTAAGAGCTCCATGCTATCTGTGATCTGTGTGGTGTTTGGAGTGGATCACAGCTGCTACAATGAAGATGATCCATTGCTCATTTCCCAACACTCACCCTAAAGATTTTCAGCATGGATCTGAACATGCAGTTTCAAAAGTGGCCAAGTGTTGAGGTGTAGATACATGCTACACTTGCTGCTGCCTCATATGAGTTTCAGCCAAGGCTTAGTTGCCTTTTCAGGCACTTATGAAAATTGGATGGTCTCAAATGTCTTCCCACCCCCACCTCCTTTTTATGCCATTAATCAGCTTTTGCTTGATGGCAACTGGACTAATTTGAGGTGAGTTTCACTGGTACAGTTGAACAGAGAATTTAGAACTTGTAGACAAAACAGATAATACTAACGTGTCTTTTGTCAAGAGCATGTAGGTATTTGGTTGGGATCAAAGAAGAGGACTGGAACACACTCAAAATCACATATCTCATATCAGATATGCAAATATATACGTATATGTAAATTATATGCTAAATTATAATCTGTATTGTAGCAG